TGACTACTCTATTCAGTGGATGTGTGGACTACTCTTCTGACTATGCTGTGGACCAGTCGATGGACTATTCTACGATTTATTCTATATTCTAGTGTACTGCATATTCAACGGATTAGTAGACTACTCTGTTGAGTCTATTGACTACGTTGGGGAGTCTATGAAGTATTCAAGGGAATAGTATAGACCAGTCGATTGACTAGTCTACTGCCTATCCTATGGAATATATTATTGACTAGTCTATGGGCAACTTTATTGAGTAGCTTGTGAAACAGTCGATTGACCACTATACGACCTATAGATTACATTATTGACAAGGCTGTAGACTACTCTGTCTAGTATTGTCTAGTCTATGGAATGCTATATTGACTGGGACTAGGTCTACTCTATTGACTATTCTATGAACTATTCTATGGACTAGTTTACAGCATATTCCATGGCATAGTCTAGTGGCGAGACTATTAACATGCCTATGGACTAGGTTGTGGTCTACTCTATTGACTAGTCTAGTAGTTAGTCTATGGACTAGTCTTTTGACTAGTCTATTGACTAGAGTTTGGACTACTTTATTGGCTAGTCTATGGACCATTCTATGGACTGGTCTACGGCCTATTCTATGAACTACTCTATTGATTAGGCTGTGTACTACTCTGCTAAGTAAATATAGCGAATCTGAATTTCTTCATAACATCAGGGTTTCAAAATATTCTAGAATGAAGTTTAAAAAAATACTGCTTTTCATAAGTTTGCTTTAAAATACCTCTGTTATAACTTGTCAGTTCTGTAAGCTATATCAATCAAAAGTTTGTAACGATATATAAACTCAGATTTGTTAAACTTTAGGTTCAGATATACATACATACATATCTTTCTTAAAAGCCCGAAAGAGATATCTGATGACAAAACACAAGTATGCTTTGCTACAGGATTGAGTTGCGCTAAATCCGAAAGTGAAATTTCTTACAATATCTCTAATTTTAACCCAGCGATCTGTGTATTCTTTCCTAAAGGATTATGCTGCGCTGAATACGAATCTGAATTTCTTCATGACATCAGGTTTTCTAAATATCTTAGTCTAAAGTTGAAAAAGGTCCAGTGTTCCGTGATATTGGATCATTATAATGGAGCGGAGTTAGCTGTCTGTTCATCTTTAAATCTTCCAATCATAGATTTACCGAATACAAAATTGGAAGGAAAAAATAGTTTAGGTTTAAATTGATGTCCCCCAAAAAAATAAAACAAGGCCCTATAAGAAGTGAATTACAAGTAAATGTACCTTTTTTCTTATTTACCTTCTAGAATTTACGTCAGTGGGGCCTGTCAGTAGAATCGTGGCAAACATTATTTTCTATTAATAATATTTTTATTTTTCAAATGCTAAATTGATAAATTTTAAAGAAAAACATTTTTAAAGCGGTTTGTTGATACACTCTACAACAACAACTTACAAATGGATGCAAAACAGAGATGGAAAAAAGAATGATTTTAAAATATATCACTTTTTTCAATTTCGATTCATCTTGATTTGTGAGAACCTTCCAAATACAAATCGGGGGACATCATGCCTTTATAAACAGCTTACAACAACAATAATTAGCTAATTATAATATCAAGCCACAGAAAACTAGACCAAATTCTCAATTTTCTTTCATTTCGTATTGAAGAAAACCTCACTATTCCATCTCTGTTACAAAATAAAAATATACTCGAAATTTCTGTAAAATTCTACAAAGCAAAATACATTAAACGAAATTACTCACAACAAAACTAAAATATGTAACGAACAGAAAGAAAAACAACAACAAGTTGTAAACGTAATGAGTGTAATGCAGGGTTGGGAAATTGAGATTTTTAAAGATACACATTTTCATTTTTTGAAAGAAAGAAATGTCAATCTCTTCAACTATAGAAAATTTATATAAAATTTGTATTATCCACCATAATAGCGAGCTAACTTTTTCGACATTTTCACATAGACTGATCTATTGAGTATAGGCCTTCTAAGGATATACATATTAATGATTTATGAACTAGTCAATGGACTTGTTTAATGACAAATCTATTGATGAGTCTATTAACTATCAAATTGTCTAAGACTATATAGTGAACTAGTTTAGCGATAAGTCTATTGAATTATTGACTAATCTAATGGTAAATCTATGGACTAGCCTATGTTCTAGTATATGGACTAATCTATTGACTAGTTTCTTGGCTAGTTTATGAGTCTATTGGTTCTTATATTTCATAGTTTAGGGTGTGGTCCAGTGAATAGCCTGATCATTTAACTAGTCTATGAAGTGGCCTATAGATTACGTATATTGACTAGTTTTTTACCTACATATTAATATTTATATGTGAACTCTATTGACTAGTCTATCTTTTCTATGAGTTACACCATTAACTCTATGAACTCATGTTTTGACTAGGCTATGGTCTGATTCATTGTCAAGTCTATGAACTGTTCTATGTAAAAGTTTATGGACTACTATAATGATTAGGCAGTAAACCTGTCGATTGACTAGTCTATAATAGAATTTACTGCTTACTACATGGGATAGTCTAGTATCTAGTGTATTGACTACTCTATTCAGTGTGGATGTGTGCTACGGACCAATCGATTGACTAAGTATTCTATGCTTTAGTCGACTCTATTCTATGTTCTAGTCTATTGCTTATTCAATGGGTTAGATAGTAGACCACTCTGTTGACTAGGCTGTGGATCAGTCGTTTGGCTAGTTTATGATCTAGCCCACTGTTTATTCTATGGGATAGTCTAGTTCATGGACTACCCTATGAACTATTCAATAGACTAGTCAACTGCCTATTATATGGGAATGTCAAGTGGATAGTCTATTGACTAGACTAGTGACTAGTCTAGTGGCTAATCTATTAGCTGGTGTGGCAGCTGGACTACTCTAGTGGCTAGTTTATTGACTATTCTATTGACTACATTGGAGAGTACTTTATTGACTATATTGTGGACTAGTATACTGCCTATTATATAGGATGGTCTAGTGGCTAGTCTATGGACTACTCTTTTGATTAGGTTGTGAACCAATTTATTAACTAGGCTGAGCACCAGTCGATTAACTAGTATATGATCTACTTTACTGCCTACTCTATTGGATAGTTTAGTGACTAGTCTATGGACTACTCTACTGCGTAGGCTATAGACCAGCCGATTGACTAGTCTAATGCCTATTCTATGGAATAGATTTCTGTCCAGTCTATTGACTACTGTATGGACAACTTTGTTGAGTAGCTTGTGAACCAATCGATTGATAAGGCTACGATTTAGACTACTACCTATTCAATGGGATAGTCTAGTGGCTAGTGTATTGACTAGTCTATGGACTACTTTATTGACAAGGCTGTGGACTAGTGTAATGGCTAGTCTATTGTCTAATCTATGTACTGCTCTATTGACTAGAGTTTGTATTACTTTATTGGCTAGTCTATGAACTATTCTATGGACTAGTTTACTGCCTATTCTATAACATAGTCTAGTGGCTAGGCTAATAATTAATCTATGGGTTATTGTATTGTCTATGTTGTGGACTACTATTCTATGCACTAGTCTAATGACTAGGATGTAAATCTATCGATTGACTATTCTACGATTTAGTCTACTGTTTTTTTTTTATTCTACTGTATATTCAATGGATTAGATAGAAGACTACTCTGTTGACTAGGCTGTGGATTAGTCGTTTGACAATTCTATTATCTAGTCTACCGTTTATTCTATTGGATAGTCTAGTGTCAAGTCTATGGATTACTCCGTTGACTATTCTCTGGACTAGTCAACTGACTATTCTATGGGATAGTCTAGTGGCTAGTCTACTGACTAATCTTTTGACTGATCCAGCGTCTATTCTATTGACTATGTTGGGGAGTACTCTATTGACTAGGTTATATACTATTCTATTGCCAAGTCTATGAACCATTCAATGGACTAGTATGATGACTATTCTATGGGATAGGTTAGTAGCTAGTTTATGGACTACAGAGTAGTCCACAGCTAAATCAGTTGGTCTAGTCAAGCTGTAAACCAATTGTTTGACTAGGCTGAGGACCAATCAATTGAGCAGTAAATGATCTACTCTACTCTTTTGACTAATCCAGTGGCTATTCTATTGACTAGTATATTTACTATTCTATTAACTACGTTGGAGAGTACTCTATTGACTAGGCTATGTACAGAGGTACTATTCTATTGTCGAGTCTATGAACTATTTAGTAGACTAGTATGCTGACTATTCTATTGGATAGCTATGGACTACTCTACTGCCTAGGCTATGGACTACTCTATTGACTATTCTATTGGATAGTTTAGTAACTAGTCTATGGACTACTCTATTGACTAGGCTATAGACCAGTCGATTGACTAGTCTACGGCCTATTTTATAACATAGATTCTTGTCTAGTCTATGAACAACTTGAAGCTGTCATTTGACTAGGCTATGATCTAGTCTACTGCCTATTCTATAGAATAGTCTAGTGGCTGATCTATGGATTATTCTAGAGGCGAGTGTATTAACTAGTCTGTGGACTACTTTATTGACAAGTTTGTGGACTAGTCTATTTTCTAATCTTGACTATGTTGGTTACTACTCTATTGACTAGTCTAAGAACTAGTATATGGATTAGTTTTCTGCCTATTCTATGATATAGTCTATTGGCTAGGCTAATAACTAGTCTATGGATTATTGTATTGACTAGGTTGTGGTCTACTCTATTGGCTAGTCTATGGAATATTCTATGGACTAGTCTCCGGCCTATTAAATGAAATAGTTTAGTGACTTGTCTATGGACTACTTTATTGACTAGGCTATGGATTACTCTGCTAAGTAGACTGTGGATCAATCGATAGCCTATGACCCAGTCTACTGACTATTCTATGGACTTGTCTAGCGCCTTATCTATTGGCTTGTATATGGACTAGCATACATATACTCTAGATTTTTCACTAGTCTACTGTCTAGTATGTTGACAGCTCTATGTACTACTCTGTTGACTAGGCTATGAACTAGTCTGTTGACTCTAATATACTAGTCCTGTCTAATAAGTACTTAATATAGCGTGTGGATTTTGCGGTGTTTCTCTATGTCAAAAAGTACTGTTGGAAGTACATTACTATCGAATTTTCCATATCTGTCACATACTGTCTCATCATACTGTTAATAACAGAGCCATCCTCTCTCTCTCTCTCTCTCTCTTTTATAGCAACAGCATCAAACTTTCAAACCTATTAGAGATATATTTTATCACTGAAATGTATATGTATGTATATATGAGTGTGTGTGTAAGTTTGTGTTTAAAGTATGGGGAGGTGAGTGTAGCATTAGAAAAAAATCTTTAAACTAGAAGAAGACATTACAAAAACAAACAACAATTAAAAGGGAATTGTATATATGAGGTGGGCCTGATAGAAAATGTGACGTCATTAAATAAGAAAAAAAATATAGATAAAAAATACAAAAAAAAATACAAAAAAAATATATAATAGAATAAAGTAAAAGTTGTTATAAACAAACTGTACCCAGCAAGTAGGAGAGCAAGTTCGTGTGTAGGTTGGCCAAAGAGCTGAGTGAGTGCTTAATTGAGTGAGTGAGTAAAGTGCTTAAAAAAAGCTTTTTTACGATTTTAATAAATAGTTTGAGTTTTTTTATTTTTATTTTTAAAAGAGTGCTTTTATTTATGCCATTTACTTTAACTCAACTGGCATTAAGCTCAACAATTGGATTTTAGTACGATTCAATACTTAAAACGTGACGGTTTACAGTAATTCTAGAGTCTATGCTATTTTTTAATTAAATATAGACTGACTTGTAAATTTATTAGAAAAAAATCCACATTATATTAATATTAATAAAAGAAGAAAAAATAACTATTAAAGTTTAATTTTATTAAAAGAAAAGAAAATTTTAATTTAGGGCTTAATTTTCTTTAATTTTATTTTCCCATGAAAATCTAAAATAAAGTGTTTAATAAAATTTACAAAAAAAAAAAAATCTTTTAAAAGAAAAAAAAAAAAAAGAAAAATTTTTTTTATACAATTACACTTGAGGTGTGAGTGTGTTAATGAAAAATTTCAAAAAAGAAAAATTAAAAAGCAAATAAGAATAATTTACGAAAAAAATACAACAGAAACAAAAAGAAATTTTTAGAAAAAAAAATTTGTATTGAATTTTAATAAATTGAGAAGAAGAAGAAAAATTTTAAAGGCAGCTAAAGTATTTAATTGAATTTATTGCAACCACGCCCCTGCTGACAACAAGCCCACCACCTTTACAACTCATACACAAGATTTTTAATTATTGTTTTTCTTTAACAATTTGTTGCAATTTACAAAAGTGTTTTAAATTGTTGTAGATTTTTTTTGGAAATTTTTTTCTTTAACATTTAATGTTAAACAAAATTGAAAAAATTATTAAATAAAGAAAAAAAAAAAAAAAAAATACAACAAAATTATATAGTTTTTTTCGTGTTGCCTTCATTCTGTGTTTCAACCTCTGTCTTCTCTGTGTGTGACGTTTTATTGCAACAACAGTAGCAGCAGCAGCAACAAAAAAAAGCCAGCAACCTGTATATGTGCAACCAGCCCCCTATGCCAATGTTTTAAAATACGGAATCCACAATAATTTTAACGGTTGGTCTTTTTTTTCTATCTATCTATATAGTATCTTTGTCTGTAACTATCTCTCTATTCAGTTGTTGTTGTTTTTTCTATATATATTTTATTTATAAAAATAAAAACATTTTTTTTTATACTAAATCTCTTTTTTAAACATCTTTAAACTGAAAAATAGCAAAAAATAATGATTTCAAACGTGTTTGTGTTTAACAGCAATTTAAACAAATAATAAAAAAACATTAAATCAAATATGAAACATATTTTCACTTTTTCTTTTTTTTTTTTTTTGCTGAAGACCCCTTTACCTCCTCCTCTCTCTTTTTACTCCTTGTTTTGAAAAATGAAAGCGCTTGTGTTAATTTTTTTTTTGTTTTAAAATTTTGCTGGATTGAGTGGAGGCCTTAAGAAATAAAAAGTGGGGTAGTTGTTTGTTTTGTTGTTGTTTCAAGGAAAAATTTTGGAAATTTGTGAAACATATTGTTCAATATGTTGGACATTTTTTTAAGAAAATTGTTAATTTTTTATAATTTTTTATTAATTATTAAGAAAGTTAATAAAATAAAAAGAATTCTAATAAAATATTAAAATAAAAAAAAATATATATTTAAATTATTTATTATAAAATATACTAAAAATCTTTTCCAAAAAAGTAACTAATTAAAAATTTAAAACAAAATATTAAATATAAAATAATTATATAATAAATGAAATAAAAAAAAATAAAATATCCAAATAATAAAAAATAAAAATAATAATAAATAATAAATAAATAATTTAAAATAAAAACTATAATATATTTAGAATAATAAAATAAAAACAATAATATATAATAATTAAAAACCTATAATAATAAAATATATTAATATAATAAATAAATATTTAATTATATAAATAATAAATAACTATAAATAATAAAATAATATAAAAATAATATCAAAATAATAAATAAATAATTAAAAATAAAAACTACAATATATTTAGAATAATAATAATAATAATAATAATAATAACAAATGTAATAAAAAAAATATTAAAATAATAAATAAATATATAATTATATAAATAATAAAATAATATAAAAATAATATTAAAATAATAAATAAATAATTTAAAATGAAAACTAAATATTTTAGAATAATAAAAATAAAAACAATAAAATATAAATAATAAAAAAAATATTTGTAATTAATTTACACATATATATAATTATATAAATAAAATACTTATAAATAATTAAAGAATATATAAATAATATTAAAATAATAAATAATTAATTAAAAATATATATATATAAAATGTATATAATAATAAAAATTTTTATATTTTGAATACATAAAATATAAATAATAAAATAACTATAAATAATAATAAAAAATTAATTAAAATTATTTTACAAATAATTATAATTAAAATGAATATAAATATATTAAAAAATATTAATAATAAATAATAAACAAATATAAATTTAAAATAAAGACCATAAAATATAATTGGAAAAAAAGTAATTAAATATTAATAATAAAATAACTATAAATAATAATAAAAAATTATTAAAAAATATTTTACAAATAATTATAATTAAAATAAATATAAATAATAAAAAATATATAAATAACAAAAAAAATATAAATAATTTAAAACAAAGACCATAAAATATAATTGGAAAAAAATAATTAAATATAAATATAATAAAATAACTATAAATAATAATAATAATAAAAATAATAAAAAATATAAATAATTTAAAATAAAGACCATAAAATATAATTGGAAAAAAAATAATTAAATATAAATAATAAAAAATTGTAATTAAAAAAATTAAATAATAAAATAACTATAAATAATAATAAAAAAAATTAAAATTGTTTTACAAAAAAATATATATTAAATGTAAATAATAAAATACCCTTAAATAATAAAAAAAAAATTATAAAAAATTTGTTAAATAATAAAATAAATTTTAAAAACTTTTAAATAATTAAATTTTAAAAATAAAAGTAACACAAACATATTTTTCCAAATAAATAAAATTAATAATAAAAAAATAAAACTTTAAAAAAGAATAAATTTAAACAAGTAAAACTGTTATACATATATTCGGCTATGCCGCTCGAATCTTATATAGCCACCCATCAAATCATGTGCCATATACATTTCAAGTGAATTTCTGAAAGAGTGGTTCTATACTATATGATTCGATCCTTTTCATATTTCTTACAATTTAAGCAATAAATATCGTTATATAGATAGTAGGGTGATACCCCAGCAAAATAAAACGAAGTACTTCCAAAAGTATAACTTTTATCACCACTCCAAAAGTAGCACTAAGGAAGTAATGTTTAAAGACTTCCGAAAACTTTCACAAAAAAAGAGCATAAAAATTACTTCTTAAGAATGACTTCAGAAGTAGTGAATTTGGAAACAAATAAAAAGGACATCCATCCTATGATAAGCCTGTGTTGAAGTCATCACTTTTTCAGTACTTTGGAAGTTCTTTTTTCGCAGCAGATCATGTTGCTGCATCAATATCAGAAGCTCTTGATGGACTCATATTTCAAGTGTCGAATGGAAGCATTAAAGTAAATCGCTGCTAGACGATACCTACTTCACTCCATCTGAATGAAATACAACTCTCATGCATGGACCTTTGCTTCAAAGTCTATTTTAGGGCTAGACGACCGCGTACAGGAGAGGTTGAAGGTACTTATCGGTGACAGTAGGGTATCCAATACTATTCACTCGTTAGAGCACCGTCACAATGTGGGGCGTGTTTCACTGTTATACCGATAATTCAATGAAATGGGTTCTTCTGAAATTAGGAAACTTGTTAGGTTCAATTATAGACCGATCCTTATAATGTCTAATAGACAGATTTTAGTTTCTATAAAACATGTATATGTCGAATTTCATTGCAATACTAGAATTTTGTAGCAAGTTATGAGCGTTATAGTAAATTTCTGAGGGGTACCTTATATAGGGGGTACGGTCCGATCTTTATAAAATTAAGTCGGAAGATTTATGTTCCGATATAACTTATTTATGTCGAAATTTGTTGCTTTACTAAAGTGAGTTATGAGCTTTATAGTCATATCTTGAAGGGGACCTTATATGGGGCGGTAGGGTCAATTATCGACCGATCCTCATAAAATTTGATAAAAACATGTTGGTTCCTATAAAACTTGTTTATGTTGAATTTCATTGCTATACATGTTTCTTTTAAGCCAGTTATCTGAGTTATAGTAATTTTCTAAAGAATAGATTATATGGGGGATAGGTGAAATCGTAGACCTATATTGTCCATTTTCCATACCGAACAAATTGCCTCAACTACATATTAGACTTGTTTATGTCAAGTTTCATTGCTATATATGTTGTTTTAAGCCAGTTATATGAGTTATAGAATTTTCTAAAGAGAACACAGGTGAAATCGTGCCAAACAAATTGCATCAACTATAAATATTTGTGCAAAATTTCAGCTCTCTAGCTCGTACCGTTTGGACTCTAACGCGTTTTCAACAGATATCATCCTTTGAAGTTGACGGACGGACGGACAGACATTGTTAAATCGTATCAGAAAGTGATTTTGAGACGATTGAAACACCCTTAGGTAGGTGTGGATCCAATATTTTTGTTCGTTTTAAACAATGTTTACAAAGTCTAATACCCTAATACCATGAATATATCGAAAACCATAAGTTTTCAAGCTTTAGCTGACGATATCTCAAAGAAGAAGGAAGATATGTCTGATGTTAAGCCTTTATATAATATTTAAAGAATGGACCTTCAGACGTTATACAATATGCTATAAATAAAGTTGTCTTGGCGCTGTTCTATGTCTCAAAAGTTGACGAAAATGGCGTTTTTTCAAATTTCAGGACACGATTTCTCAAATTACAGAGGTGATGGAGCAAATCTAATTCGTTCTGATTCAGATTCAATGCGGCTTAATCCTTTAAAAAAGTATAACATGGACTCAGGGTTTCGACTTTTTTTCAAATTTTATCGGCCTGTGTACTACCCATTTTACCACTGTTTTTATATAAAACCTTTTCAGAATATACAAATTCATATTATAGAACACACATATCTGAAGTTTTAGTGAAATCGAATAATATTAACCCATAAACTGTAAAGGTCCAAGTCAATATTGGGAAACTTTCCGTAGTGAAATATTATTTCATTTGCAACCGATTTAAATGAAACCTAAGAAAAATATGTATATAATAAAGACCCGTATAAACATATAATGACATCAAACAAATCTGTATTAACCCTTAAACGTACCTAAATATATTTTTATAATTATATAAAATTTCAAGGCCATATAAAGAGAAACCATTTGGTTTGAAAAGTTGAAAGGTCCAAAATTTCATTTCGTTGGCCAGTGTTATTAGTTTTAGTAAAATTTTTGTTTTAATTTTCTCTAACTCCTGTTAACAATGCATTCTTTTTTTGAACTGTCTCTTCTACGAAATATAATTTCATGAATTTTCTTAAATTATCGACATTTTATTTACTTTTAAGTTTTAGTCTTAAAACAACAGTTTTAAAATCAAACATTATTCTTATCAATAATAAAGCAAAACTCAAAAATAAATTTCTAATTTTAGAAATTGTTATACAAACAAATTAAACTGTTAGAATAATCAAACGAACAGCAGTGTTTAACAAATACACTGCTAAATTATGGTTTAAATTCCAAAAAAACAAAACTAAAAAAATCTTAAAAAATTCTCAACATGTATGTTGGTTTAGTTAGAAAACAAAATTAACATTATCAAAATTAAATTTAAATAATTATAATTCTATTATAAAAAAAAAAAAACAATAAACAAGTGATGTGTCAAATAATTTCAAATGCCCCCAACTAAAATGGATAAGTGAGTGTGTGTGTGTGTGTGTGTATGAATGACTGTATATGTGTGTCGGTTGTGCTACATTCTATGAAAAGTGAAAGAAAGTGAAACTTTTGTTTTTTTCTATAATTTTAATTAAATTATCAACTAAAATTCTAT